GAAGGCAGGGGAAGCAGCAGCATCATGTAATCAGTTCATGCCATCTTAGAACTTAATTCTTACAGAGGCAGGAGCACAGCAGAGTGTGATGTGGGCTGAGGATTTGCTTTCCTCATAGTATCATAGTTAGATACAATACTTCATTCCCTGTAAAACTTTTCACTGTGATGTGATCATGATCCACCTATGTCCCTTATAACTGGCTATTCAGTATGAAGAAATGGGTTATCAAATTTCTTTCAGGTGAATTGACGTTAAATGAAAATGCAGAAGGCTGCTGCTCAAGCAGTTTCAGTTGTGTTTCTTCTTCAGTTCACATGAAATAACAAACAAATAGTTCAATAAGGGGCAAGTCAGTGCATGTACAACCCTTCGGGAGCACCTTGCAAGATAAGCAATCTACTGGAGTGACATAACTGAAATAGAGAGGGAGAAGTAAACAAAGTATAATGTCTTAAATTGTGCAAATGAATGAAGAGGAAGGGGAGCAGACTTGCGAAGCGAGAGGGCTTGGACTTTAATCTTCTAGTCAGACAGCACTGAGTGAACTCTTAGTAGATGGGGGAAGACAGTAACTGCTGTATGTGTTTTCAGGGTTGGAATGGAAATACACCTGATAAGTTGGGCCAAATGGATGACAAAATTGCATGTGAATCGTTAGTGCATTCTTTTACATTTTTGGAAATGTATGATTTGTGTATGGCTGCTTCTGTTCTTGCTAAAACCAACTTTTACCCCAGCTTAACTCTCGGTGTGTTCTTTGAGTGCTTTGACTGAACCACCCATGAGTGGGGAATTTGGACATAAATTTGCTGGAAAATGCAGTATTTCCATTTAGTTAGCTGATATCTACTTGTCGATTAACAAGGACTGGGGATTTGTATTGTCCAGATTCAAGGCTGTCTCTGCAGAGGAGAGGAATGTCTTGTCGTCTTGTGGCTTTTAGGAACTGTTTCTAAAATTAAGGCTAAGTTCTAAAATTAAGGCTAATCCTACTTGAATATAGATGTATACAGATTGGTATTCGATCACTTTCAGCACTTTAAAAGTTGCGTATGCAACTTTCCTCTGTTGTGGATGCTTCTGCAGAGAATTTGACAAATGAGTATGTATTTTCCACACTTGAGAATACCTTCTATTTTTTTTTTTCCCCTGGACAGTGTGAAGCAAATATTTGCTATTAACCAGCAATGGTAAAAATGAAATATTCTGTGTACACACAGTTAGGTATAGATGTGTAATCTGTAAGAATGTGCTGACGTGTGTATATCTGCATATATATGTATTACTATGCATAGATATAAAGTATGTGTATATATAAGTATCCTAATAGGGATAAATGACTTTTTATTGTGATAGTGATTAACATGGTCTTCCAGTACTGAGTTTGCTTTATCTCTTGCCAGTTAGTCTTGGCAGAGTTCAAGTGGATGTCAGTTTACATACATTTTGAGTTATTAATGCTTGCATATAAAAAGACATGTAAATATAAACATTATAAATTGCAGCTACACCCAGTGTTGAGTGGGTGCTGAAGTGTTGATCAGTGTTGGTGACCTTACAAAGTGTAAGAGCTGGGTTTGACCAGCAAGCCAGTTCCCTCCAGTGGCCAAGCTTTTGCCTTAAAGAGGTTAAGAAATTACTTAAGACAGTCCGGTATATAAACTAATACTGTGACTGTTTTTTAAGCTGCTCACATCAAGCTGAAGGGCCGGGCTGTCATTTCTGGGTCTGAATTTTGTCTCCTCCCACGAGGTATGTGGCTTTGGTCTCAGAGCTGAGGGTTATGTCAGTGTGACTCTCCAGCTGACAGAGAGCAGTGCTGGAATTGGACTGGCACGCTCGGGCTCCCTGGCACACACTGCTGGGATTAACAGTGGTGTGGTGGGCTGCCTGACTGTGTTTGGGATATTCAGTAAGGCATTTGGAAATCTAAACCCTTGTTTCCAGAGCACAGGGCTTTTTTTCAGGTTCAAACAGGGTGACTGAATATTCTACCTACACTTAAATTGTGCTTTTGGGTAGCTGAGAGTCAACACGTGATATAAGCAAATGGGAATATTTCTTTAGCCTGTATGCTTATATGCAAACTAGTATTAATATATGGTTTTGGTTTTGTTTTTCCCCTCAACTGACAATGATCCTTATCTTTGAATTTAGCTAGCAAAGAGAGTTGAAAAGTTTAGTTATCTAAACCTTGCCATTTTAAATCCAAGTTAGATACTGAAGAATCTAACTTGAATCCAAAAATAGGATGTGTAGGGTATTAAATGGATAATTGTTTCTGGAGAGCCTTGGCTCTAACCTAACTCAAATAATGGCTATAGTAAAAACTAAAAATACCTGCCTTTAATTGATTGTGTAATCCAGAAGTAAACATAGTACATTCCTTCGTTTGTGAACAGCAGCTAAATTGACTGTGTGCCTGATCAGCACATTGTGAACTGGTGTAACTTCATGTTTCTCTGTGTTAGCAATGATGTGGAGTAGTTACGTCTATATTTTGCAGAAAGAAAGAAGACTGAGATACTCAGATTCTCAGCAGAACTGTAACACTCTGAATATTCTGTTAAGTAGCTGCTGCTTTTGCTTTTTTCTTGAAGTAGAGCTGTTTTTGCTTTGACGTTGATTATTATATATTCTCACTTAAGATGCAAAATTGATAACCAAGTGCATAGCATGTAGCTAATGGAAACCATGTATCACCGAGACTATTAATGATGTTTTCTATGGGAAAACATTGTATTTTTATTGTTGTAAAATCTGCTGTCTGTTAAAGCAATACCATTTTTGCCTTAAGACCATGAAATGTATTTCAATGTGAATACTTTAAGGACTTGAAGCTATGAAACTAGTGCTTAAAAAAAAATGTTTCACGTGATTAGGCAGTGCATTTAAGCTTTTTCTCCTGAAGTAATTTGATCAGGTTTGTGAAGACTTAGTTGCTAGACTTAAGTGACAAGGATTTCAAATTTTTCCTAGGTATCTTTCTTTTTAAAATGTTATTTTAAAATACATTCCAGTGATCTGAAAGCAATGAGCTCTGGCTCCTGTTCAGGAGTGTGTCCTCTGCTCTGACTAATAGTCATGGGTAGTCCCACCTCTGCTCTAGCAGGCTGCTGGAAACTACCTGGAAAGCTGAGTGCCGACTGTGGGATGTGAGCTTGGGGTATAGGAGCGGGCCCTTGCCTTTATATCTTTGCATAATCTTCAGATGTGTGGGCAGATCTCTGAGAGCGTTGACAGGTGGCCACTGAGGACCTGAATAGGGACAGCGAGGCCTGTTTGTGAAGGAAGGAAAGGGTGTTACTCCCAGTTCAGGCAGTTGCAGTTTTACTGGTGAGGACTTGGCTTCCTTTTGCTGTCTTGGGGAGTAAATAGTGTCAATTGGAGGAGTTCCTGTGCAGTTGTGATTTCAAATGAAAAATGGGTTGTGCTGTCTGTATCCCCAGGTACTTCTTCCTGCATCCTTTATGTATAGGTGCCACCTACTGTTTCAATCAACTGAAAAAGTCAAAGATTTGAAATATTAGTCATTAACCAGAAGTCATCTCATACCTGTAAAGTGTTAGCAACCATAACCTGAGTGTAAGATTTAGCATATATGGTTGTGTCCTGTGATCACTGTTGTGTGCAGGCTGTCTGAATGCAAATGATTTTCATCTTCAAAACGGTGAACATTGTCTTTGCAACAGAAATGATTCAGAAAGTGTTTCATCGTTCCTTTCTCTGCAAGTGGTGTTCTGTAGGCAAGGAGTCCTTTCCCTCTACATGATTGGTTTGAGAGAGTTTAGAAACATGAGTAACATTTGGCCCCTTGGGGGTTTTGGAGGGTGGTGCTGGTGTAGTTGACTCGCCCCTCTCCTCCTCTGTTGTCTGTTTTCCGTGAACCATTATATATTGTGGTGATGGATTTGCAAAAGAAGACCTTTTGTATTGCTTGTTTAAAGAGGTGACAGATACGTCACAAATAGATGTGTTTTGTGATTGCATTTCAATTTTCAACAAGCGTAGACTCTTTGCAGTTTTTTTAGTGTCTTTTCACTGTAAATTAGAACTTGAAAACGATCTTTGTAAGAGTAACAATTACTGCCTCAGTTCAAGTTTAAACTTGATCAATATTATACCATTATATTTTGACCTGGAGTTAATATCAAGGTGAAAGGCATGCCTCACAATGAAGTCTTCAGGCAACAAAATCCAGTTCTTGCTTATGATGACAAACAGTACAAGATTCAATTTGCATCCTTGCCATCTCTTTGCATCCTTGGGATTTTGTATGATGAAAATGTCAGATTTCTCTGAAATGTGAATCTATCATTGCAGTCTTCAAAGACAAAAGCAAATTAAAAAAATAGAATAACTTTGGTATATGGGCATTAGATACTGATCTTTTGTCTTTCTGCAAAAGTAACAACAAATCCACAAGTTAATCTTCCATGCTTTGTGTGGTAGAATGTGTCATCTCTTTGGTCTGCTTGTTTTTTATTATAAAACCAAGCCACAGAAGGTGGAGCCACTGGCAGTGATAATATGACTTCTCCCATTTCTACTCTTTTCCCAGATTCAAAAAGGGAGAAAAAAAGAGAGAGACCAAGTCCCAAACACTTGGATGGATGTGTCCCTGACCATTCAGACAAGATGAACATGTTGTGTAATTCCTGAATCAACATACATCATCTAAACATTTCAGCTTAGATTTCATTAATCTTGGGTATATATTTGCATTAGGGGATAAAGAGTTTTGTGTTTACTTCTTTTCCCTGGACATTTTGAAACAAGTGTCTGACCCATAGGAGTTATCTTTTGGTGCATTACATGATCAGGATTTTCAATACTTAAACATACTTAAACCACACACAAAACCTTCAGTAGAAATACTGATGCTATTGAAAAGATTAAAATTCTTTTAAAAGACTTAATTCTTCTAAAAGACTCTTCAAAATAGCACTTCAGAAAAGAATTATTGCCTTTTTAGCAGTGATGGAAAGATTTCTACAACAAGAAACTAGCAGAAGATTCCTTATTCCTTCCCCAGAATTTATTGCAACTGGATAAACCCCTGTGAATCTACCTGGAGAATTTAGATGAAGCTTTGTGACAACAGTTTAATTTTCAGTGCTGCTGTGTTATGATTTCTTGCCTTGGAGAGGAGGTTGTATGGGAGATGCTTTAGAACTTGCCAGAAGAAGTGTTAGTGTTGGTGTCCTAGTGCTGGCTGAAAGATTGCCTGGTCAGTGGTGTGTGCTGTCTCTGCCAGCTGATTCACCCTTTCTCAGCATGATCCCTCTGACAGTCTTAGAAGTCTTGGCAATTCCTACTTCTTTTTTCTGCTTCTCACTGTGGTTTGATAATTGATTTTTTAAAAATTATTCATTTTATTTTGACCTGCCTGAAACTGCTTTTTTTGGATCTTTTTTGTCGGTGGACTAGTTGCCGTTAATACATTACAACAGGAAATTGCTGCCTGTCTGCTTCATACAGGAGTATGATGGGTGGGAAGGCAAAGCCTAAAGGGACCCTTAGTTGCTCTGGAGGGTGGCTGTGGTTTGGTGTTAGGAATAGCTAATGGCACTGGGATGGTGGGGGGTGACTGCTTTAAATGGGCCAGGGAGAGCAGATCACTAATGATTTGTTTGTGTATCCAATCCACTGCTTAGTACCCAAGGTGGAAACTGTGTACTCATGGAGAAACTTTGCAAAGCTGCTTTGTGATTATTTTGTCTATTAGTAATGTTATCACAACAATACTGCAAGAACAACAACGGTGCTGTGAGCACGAACTGTTCGTTAGTTTCTTAAATATTTTGCAATTAAGCCTTTCTAAGGTTTTCTGCTTTCTGTTATTTCTAGCCCTTTTAATACTCTATAGACATTATTGGGAAGATTTGCATGCGTTTTAACAGCTAATAGATTCTGTGCTTTCATGCTGAACTTTAAATGTGATTTGAGAAAACTTTATGTACTCACTCTAAACAAAGATCTGTGGAATGTAAATAGCTTTGTATTCAGAAGTACATAGGTTTAGCAGAATAAATTTGTCATAGGAAATTTCCTAATGTTAAATGTTAGGAGGTATCATAAAAATTGTTTTATGTCTAACTATCTCTAGAACATTCAGGATTTGGGGCAGGAAATAAGAAAAAAAATAATAAATTGAAAAGAAAGAATAGTATCCCTGTCAGACACATGACTCTTATTCCTCCAAAGATCTTGGCAGGTTTGACCAGGTAGATACTTCATGTTGGTGTGATGAAAAAGTTGTTCAGGGCTTGCCTCTTATTTGTATAGAAGTTTATTTCCTTGTTTGCATTTGAAGCTGCCAGGGAACTTTCTGTTGTCTTCATCTGCACAGAGGTGGCCCCTGTAGGCACCAGTAACTCTGGTACTGCACCTGCTCCCCTCAGCAGTGTTGAATAGCCTAAGAAAGGATTCACTTAGTTGAGGAAAAAAAAGCCTTCTGAGTATTTGTGGTTTTGTCTCTCCTGTTCTTCCTAGTAATGATTCAGTGGATTTTACAATGCTTATGATTGGTCAAAGCCTTGGGAACTTGGCAGGGATCTTCCCTGATGGGAAATGAGAAGTTTGTGGTTAAGAATAGAGGCTGTGCTTCTAATATAGTATTTCAAAGGCCTTTTAGCTAGCTTGTCAGAATGTAATGAGTGTACCTGGTTAGCTTTTTTCTATTTAGGTGCAACTACTCTTGCATACTCTCTAAAATCTACAGATTTTGCAACGTAAACCATATGTGCGCTGCAGTTTTAAGTCTTCTGCTGATCTGCTATTTCCTGTGCTGTCCATAGGTCCAAGGTACTGGCCAGCAGGTATCTGTGAAGTTAAAGAAGCAGTTGGTGATGTTAAAGAATAATGGGATGATACAGCTTTTATTAGACAGAGCCATTTGTCTGGTGCAAGTAGTTTTAATTCACATTTTTTAGTAATAAGTTCAGATGCGTATAGTGATTTATTAAATTTTATAGAATAGCTAAACATAAAAAAAATCTCCTTTCCCGAACAGTGCAGGGTTGGAATAGTTAAATGTTCATAAACTCAAGCATACAAATGAGAAGATGGATTACTTTGTTGTTCTGCTGATTTCATCAATCATAAATACAGACTGAATTACAGTGTAATGACTGTATTTTTCTTTTCAGGACATAAGGAACACTCGTACGTTACAGAATGGATGAACAATCACAAGGCATGCAGGGGCCTACTGCTCCACCATTTCAACCACAGGTACATATATCTGGTGTTGTTTTTTTCTTTAAACTTATTCAAGAGTGGATGCTATCATTTCTCAAATAGAGGAAGAGATAATTTTATTTCTTGTTGGAATAATGAAACTGTAAGCAGATAGATTGTGTTCTGGTGATCCTGAAGTTAATTGTAATTGTCTACCAGCGTGTACTGGTGCGTGACATTATTGCTGCCAAGGTGCGGGGATTTACACTTGCCTGTGTTGAACTGCATGAGGGTCCTGTCAGCCCATTTCTCCAG